GAAGGATTGCTGCATAAATACACACACACATTTATTTATATATATAAATCAAAATTAATGTAGCCTTGTTCTCCTGGGGATGATAGAACATTAGTTTTGGATGACTGGTTAGGTTTTTGCAACATTGCTTGGATGATACAATTTTTTTAATTAAAATTCCATTATTGTAAAAGTAACTAATTTCTTTTAAAAAATTAAAATTCTTACTTCTTACCAACAGAGTTTTAATAAAGAGAGCACACACAAACACAATAAGTAATATTTAAACACTTCTTTTTAAAACTGTTGAATTAAACTTAAATGAAGGTTGAAGGACGTGAATTTTGTTATTTCTATTAATCTCTAAATTTCAATAACAGGATCTGAGACCAAGAAAAAAATTTTTTCTGTCAATTTTTGGTTTTCAAAAAATCAATGAACCATTTAGAAACAATATTTACATATTGTGTTTTCTGTTTATCATAAACTAAATTGAAAATACAAGAAAATTTAAAAAATGATTAAGTGACACAGAAAATTTGGCCACTAGAGAGGGCAGGTCAAGATTCGAAATCTTTTCATAAAGACATTAAAAATTCTGAAAACTTAGTTGGAATGTGCTAATATTTTTTTAGATAGAAAACAAATACAAAATCTTACTCTTAGCAATAGGGAAATTAATAAGGACATTTTCATGCAAAATTATTCAAGGGGATCTAACCAAATTTTAATGGTAATTGTTCGAATTGTTCTTCACTATAGCACCTAGATTTTTTTTAAATTTAAGCGCAGCACTAGATTGACGTTGAGATCTCATCAATTTACAGTTGAGCTGGCTAGATATAGTCATAAATTCTATGCTAACAGTTCTCTCACACTTTTTGCTTGTGGAACTCCCTTCCAGCTCCATGCTTTCTAGGCAACTTTAATCTGCAAAAATTTAAATGCAGTATCAATTGCTATCTATTACTCACCTGATTACTCTTTTTTCATTCTGCTCATCATTAATGTTTCTCTTCCTAATTCTTCTATGCCCTGTAACCCCTTGTATCTTAGTGGCATTACTAATAAATTTAACTAATTTATTTTTGTGTTTATTCATTTTACTCCTAGCAACTATAAATGATAGTTTTTTTGTTTTTTTTTTGTTGTTTTTTTTTGTTGTTGTTTTTTTAAACACTTTTATTTAAGGATGGTTCAAAAAGAAATTGGTATTTCAGGAAGTGGGGGGGTGTTAGTCTGTAGTCTTGTGTGTGTGTAATATATATATATATATATATATATATGTGTGTGTGTGTGTGTGTGTGTGTGTGAATATCAGAGGCTGTATCCCAACGTATCATACCATTTTGGAATCAGGTCAACTCCGTGGGCAAATTAAAAACATTCTGGGCCAGATCTAGACCCACGATCCTGAAATTTTGGATTCACAAGTTTTCATTACTGCAATTATTTTTGCCTTTTTTTTTTCTTTTTTTATCATTTTTTTTATTATCATTTTTTGGTATATTAATTTTTAACTTGGAAATAAATTTTGGAATAATCAAGATTAACTGCAAAATCCAATAAAATTAATTGTTTTTTCCAAAAATAAGGACCTACAAACATCAAATTGTCTTTAAATTAAGTGGTGGCAGAAGAATTATCATTGAACTTTTAAAAAGTAAGCTTAAATATTAATCCAATAGTTAAATGCAGCAACCAATTTTGAGTTCTTCTGTAGTTTATTGTTGCCTATCACATCTACTCCTCCCTACTTATTGTGATAAAAGCTCAGTCAAGAGCCCTCCACAGGAGCTAGCTTTTAAGTTTTTATATATATATATATATATATATATATATATATATATGGTCTATTTTTACAGCATCTTTTCATCAAGACATCTTAAAATAATGCTGTTGTAAATGTTTAGAAAGGTTAGATGCATCATTCAAATGAAAACTCAACCTCTGAGATAACGTAGTTGTAGTGTGTTCAATAAATATTTTTTCTGTTGGAGATACAATCTCCCAAAGGACATTTAAATTTATATATAAGGTTGTTTTCGGTAACACGTTAATTGGTGGCGAGGAATCATTACAAATGATTAAATTGGATATATTAAAATTAGTATAGTATATAATTAATTTAATTTTTTTTTTTTTTTTTACTAGGATCTGTGGTGGATATATTAGTATTTATTAGTTTTATTTATTATTTTTTCATTTTTATAATTAGAATGAATTTGATTGTGATATAAATCATTAATATGTTTAGGATTATTTGAAGAAGTATTATATTTTCTTCATATTAAAATTTCTAACAGAACATCTTATTTGTTAATCGACAATATAATTAGGAAAATTCTCATTAAAAGTTTTATATTTTTTAGTTCACTGAAGAAAATCTGTTTTGTGAAGGAGTTAATTTTTGCATGTACTTTGCGAACTTTTGCAGTAAAAAAAAAATTTGGTTGTAAATATGTAACATTTATGAGGATAAAATATTGATATCTTTCCCAAGGTGTTTATAAATTGTACACTTTTCAATTATTAATGTTAACAAACTATTTTGAATTACAAAATTGTACTTGGATCAAACGAAAATTACTTACAATATAATACATATTACTTTTTAATACATTCCTTCTTGCCATCAATTTTGACAACACACACATATATATATATATATATATATATATATATATATATATATATTCTGTAATGCTTTTCTTAGAGCACAGAGGTGTAGGGTCTTTCTTTCTAGCAATATAGTTTATAGATTTAGGCAGAAGTGCTGGTCCATACAAAAATAATACTGCCTTTTTTTTTATGGGTGTTTTAGTTTATACTTTTCAATAGTTATTTCAATTAATGAGTCTATTAATTTCAGGTTTGTAATATTTTACACAGCTAATAAACTTTTACAAAAATTATTTTTTTAAATAACTTGTATAAAAGACTAGAAATGTGTTTTGTTTTTTAAATTTGCATATGTGAAAATAATAGAAAATAATTTTGAAGCATTTTTCAAAATAAATATTCTATAAGCACCATTAGTCTTGGATGTTGGATGCAAGAGAAATAATGATAACAGCATGAAAAACAAACAATTTGAATTCTGTCTGGGGCTGTTAATATTAACTTTTCTCTTGTGTTCTTCAGAAAAGTATGAATTCATTCATTGCTGCACTCTGTCCCATTATCAGATCTTGATAAGATCTTCATTGCTGGCATACCATGATGGGTGTAAGGAAAGTGTGAGTGAATGTGTAAATGGACAAACCATAACAGTTGAAATAAAACCGTTTCTCTCATTGCAAAACATTGGCAGGGTCTCCTAAAATAATTTTTGTACAAATAGATGATAATGAAAAAAAAAAACAAAAACACAAGGATATTTTTCTTTCCTAATTATGACTTTTATACAGTTTTCTTAACAATATTAACTTGATAACTATTGTTGTCAGCACAGTATTTGGGGTAATACATTCTTTAGCTTGATAGCATTGTTTTTAGCAAGAAGGTAATGAAAACCTTTTATCTTTTTACTACTGACCTTCATTGATTTTATGCACATGCAGTCACTTTAGAGATTACAAGGTGCCCTTAATAAGTTACATGTTAATGAGCATTAATGATGAAAGTAGTTCAATCTCTTATTAAATCTGTATAATACAAGAGTTGGTCCGAAAGTAATAGTTGCTTTTAGTTACAACATAGTTAATAGAAAAAGAAGCATACAATACATCCCAAACTAAATTCTCAAGATCTCTTTCTTAATTTTAGTATTCCGTCTTTGAATGAAGGTATGTATACTCACCTCATATAAGCTTTTTGATTGCTTTTTTTTTAGCTTTGTGCAAGTTGCCCTTTTCACTAGAGAACCACTGTCTTTTGAGTGCATCCCTCATAAGGCCAAACAGATGAACGTCTTAGGGTGCCAGGTTAGTACTGCAGGGTGGAGGATAAGGAGACAAAATTGTCCAGACATGTGCTGCAATCACTTGTCTGGTTTTTAAGCAGCTGTGAGCACTTATTGCATTATTATATTGCAAAATTACATCACTAAACTTCAAATGTGTTCTAGCTTGAAGAAATCTTGCTCTGCTCTGAGTTTTCATAGTGTGTTCACTCAGAATTTATAGTGATGCCATAGTAGAACAGTATGACTATCTTCTGGTCCCAAAATGAATTGGTCATCAATTTTCACGTGTAGCATTCTTTTTCTTTCTGGGTGAATCTAGGTGACACCATCCCATTTCTCTTAGGCTGATAATGGTGAACTTGCATCACATTTTCTGTGATTGTCCTCTTTAGGAAGATGTTGTGTCTTGCAGCTCAACAACCTCTTGTACAGCAACACTCTTCTGATGCTATATAGAATTCTGTTAGCATTCTGTTTCTGTATACCCACTTTACATAGACCTTCGAGTAGCAAAGAGGCTGCACTATACTCCATGCACTACCAAGGCTCATTTGAAGGTTTTCAGAGTTTTGCACCAGATAATTTTTCTATCAGCTCTAATGAGAGCAACATCCTGTTTAGCTTTATCTTTTTGTACAGAAACAGCTGATTTGTCATTAAGGTCATTTTTTTTTCTCTATGATTACCATTAAGTCTCTATCTTTATTGTGCAACTTAAGTGTTCACTAACTTGTCAGTGTTTGTAGCACTTTGTCCATCCCAAAACAAATTCTGTTACAGTTCTTTACTCTGTGCATGTCCAGAAAGGCAGCCATTTTGAAAGAGTATGAAAAAAAGGAGGTAACTCTGCAAATTTTCTCCCTGTTTTATTCAGCACTATGGTTTATAACCAAAAAAATAAATAAATAAAAACTAGGAATATTAACTAATACTTTAAAAATTACAACAAGCATTACTTTTCAACCAGCCTCTCTATAAAAATGTTTTGGAAAATTTTCAGAGATTTTATTCTATGCTGTTCCAAGTTTTCTTGCTAAGAGCTCTTTTACAGTACATTTATGTGAACTAATTTGTATCTATATTCAAATTATCAATCTTTTCTTGTAGGTGGAAGATGCAATGCTTATGTTTGATAAGACAACTAACAGACATCGAGGTATGTTATTTTCTTTTTTTACTTAATCGTTACAAATCCACAATTTTTTTCTTTCCATCGCAAATATGGCATTGCAACAATGGCTTAAATAAAAATATATCTTAATGCTCTATGTACCATTTCCTCCAAATGCTGAATTCAGTATAAAGCTGTTCTCATTTTGCAAAAAGTACACTCAATTACATTGAAATTACTGTTAGGTTCAACCATTCTAATTTAAACGCCTGGTTAGAAAGTTATTGGTGGCTTCCAACATCACTATTCACGAATATATTTCCTTCCTAGAAGATTTTTTGACTTTAAGACTACTTTTTTTCTTTTTTCTTTTCTTTTGTCTTTTAGAGAAATTACTTTCCTGCTTGAAACCACTCAAGGAAAATATTAACCCTTTCTGTATTTTTAAAAAATGTCTATCATAAAAGGGATTTTTTTTTTTTTTATACTTGTAAATTTTTTATACTCATGTAAATTAATAAAATCAAATAAAAAGGAAACATGAGTATATAATAAAAAAAAAAAAAAAGGGATCACCTTTATTTTTTAAATGTCACCCCATAAATTTTAGTCTTATCAATTGGTCTTAATTTGGGCCTAGGGTACTCTTTTAAAAGGAGTTAAATTTTCCTTAGATGTGATTTTTATATTTGATTTCCAAAACTTTGGATGTTGCTGAGGATTCCTTTTTTTTTTTTTTTTTTTTTTTTTTCAAATCCTACTTCATAACTTTTACTTTGTTGAAGGTAATATATTGTATATCTTATAAACTGTCTAGGTGTTAGCGCAATTACTCCTTATCTCCTCCAGGGCTTATTTTCTTTCTTTTAATAAAAAAAACTGAGATGTTACAGAAATGATGATGGGGAATTAAAATTTACATATTAGCATATTGTTGTTACATATATAGAATAAACATCTTTTTATTTATTTTTAAGTTAGGAAAGATGATTAAACAAAATGTTCTGTTTCCATATTATAAAATGGGTTTTTCTCATTTCCAAAGTCTGTAACAAATATCAAAAATACTATTGTATAATTTGTAAGGAAAACTTATTTTTTGAAAAAATAAATCTCTGAAAACAAAATACAAAAAATGCAGTATTTCTTAGAGTAATATTTATGAAGTGGATCAGAACAAAAGCTTGTAGCATTTTTAAGTGAATTTCAAAGAGAATATTTCGATATTTGTAAATGGATTTATTCAACCACATATGCACCATTTTATTCCCTAATAATTTGCCATCTTTGAAACATCATCATGATTTCATCCTTCCAGAATTTTGTATCTTTCTGGGTGATTAGCTGGTCTAAGTGCTTTTCTATATGCTTCTGAAGAATTGAATTTGTAGGGATTGAAATAAGTGATAATCCGAAGATGCGAAGTCAGGCAAGTATGGCTGGTGTAGTATGACATCCCAACTAAGCTGTACAATTTTCTGCCAAGTCTATAAAGAGACATGAGGTTTGGCATTGCCTTGATAGAACACAATACCCTTCTGATTGACTAATTCCAGTCACTTTTCATTGATTGCTGCTTTTAATCAGTCTAGTTTGAAACAGTACTTAAATTCAGTTCCCAAATTTTGTGGAAAGGGCTTGTAATACAAAATGCCCTTCCAATCTCACCAGATACATAGCATCACCTTCTTCAGTTGCAGATTGGCTTTTGAAGGGGCTAACTGCAGCTAATTTAATTTTTCCAAGGACCTTTTTGAATGCAGGCCTATTGGAATATTCTTGGTCTTCCAGATGAAAATTTACACTTCTGAGCCTAGCAAATCACTTAACAAACTATACTCTCAGCTATGGCATCATTCCTATAAATGGCACATACGTTTTTTTTTTTTTTTTTTTTTTTTTGCTGTTTATACAACATTTGTCCTTTCAAGTGATAAAAGGGGGCATCAAATGACAAAAATGCATCTCATTTTCCTCCAATTTCACTTTTAGCACAAAAACATTTTAAATTTGTAATCTACGCACAATTTACTTAGAAAGACATGTTGAATTAAATCTACTTTTCTTCCCACTCTGTGTGCTAGTTAAGTTTTTCATTTTAGTTTTTGTTTATTTGTTACTTACTTAGTCTGAGTATTTGATGTGCTTTTCATTTCATTTTTTAATAATCCCATCAAAGGATTAATCTCCACTCTCCAGTGAAATTATGTTGGACTTGTAACAAACTTTATCCTATTTCAAAATAATGATAAACTTTGTTAAATAATGACCCCTTGAATTTTACCAAAGTTGGGTATATCCTGACAAGAGTCTGTGAGAAGCAAGATTGTAATTTCTAGAAATCACTTAGTTGCTCTAGAAGAGGTATTGGGCAATTAATTGTTGCTCAGATTCCACTGTTTAGTAAATCTGTTGTATATAATTTTCAACAAGTTTTATTAAATTCAACTAATAAGGTCTGTTTAATTTATGTATTTTCCCAATTTACTAGTAAGTTGAAGTACATTAGGATAAAATTTATGGAGAAACTGTCCAAAGTTGATATTTGTTGCAGTGCTTTCAACCATGTTTGATTATTATCTGACTGTTAATATTGTCAGTGTCAGAGAATAAAATTTTTCTGGGAAATGTAGTATTCCTAAAAAAAAATGCCATTATATATGGCATTTTTATGAATTTCTAATTTAAATATAAATGTATCTTAATTGAAATGTAGTGTTTTGTTTTGTACTATAATTTAGCACTATTAGCATATGAAATAACAAAAAATGAAGAGATTTCAAACAGTGCCATCTGTTCAAAATGGATCATTTAAATTCATAAGTCCTTAGATTCTGAAAATGTATAGAAATTAGGAATTTATCTACCTAAATGAAAACGTGTTTCTGCAGACAATGATTTTGTTCTGATTAAATTTGTCAACAAAAAGTAAACAACATCAAAAGAAGTGAATATATCAATAAGTCTAATTAGATATATAATATAAATTACAGGCATAATAAAAAGGCAAGCCCGTGTGTAAAATACATTTTTCCTGGTCAGTCCTGTCTTACCTGTTTAGTAATCTCGTCAAAAGCTGGATGAAATTCTCAAATTGTTATTCAGTAACTGGATAATGTTCTTTCATCCTATGAAAATAAATTAGTTCTAACAAGCAGATATCCTACTATAACACAGTAGTAAGAAAGCCATTTTGCATAAAAATGGCTTTCTTTATCTCATTCTTTCTCTCTCCTCCCCATTTCCACTAGAATGAGGCCACTTTTAATAGACAAAAAGTGAAGCAATATTTTGTTTTATCAAGGAAAATATGCTGACAAAAAAGTGAAGTTCAGTTATACATTGGATTAAATAAGGTCTTTAAAAATAAATTCACTAATTAAATATGTGCAAGCATAATAACCCTCCCAAAAGTTGAATTTCTGAAGATCAAATTTTGTGTGTTTTTTCATTTACAAAATAGGGTAATTTTAGAATCACAACACTGGACTGTTTTGAATTGAAGATACAGTAACTTCACTTTAATGAAAGAAAATTTGGTCAGTCCTTCTATAAGTAGTGCTAAGTATTGCTTCAGTATGTTCTGGAGGGCATATCTATAGCTAGGTTAATATATGTACATTTCGATAAAGTATATACTGTGATAATAGCTACAAGAAAATTATTATTACAAAGTATTTTTGTTTGTGACTTGCTTTTATATGTAAACAAAAACAAGAATCAGTTTTGATGGGAATTATAAAATCTTTTAATTTTTATTCATACTTCTTTCATGTATTTATATTTTTACTAAAAAAAAAAAAAATAGTACAATAGTATAAAATGCAGTGCATATTTTATATTTTCATCCAAGCTGTAACTTCCTCTATTCTATCTTCTCATGTTTACACAATAGAAATGTTTTTAGTTATTTATGTCCTTAGAATTTTAAACAGATACCAAAAAAATACTGTCTGCTATTTACATAGACAACATTTCTTTTGGAACCTTTTATACTAAATATATTGAAGATAGTAATATTAGATTTGTCTCCCCTTTACCAATTTTACTCTGCAAGATTTTTTTTCTTTGAGCTTTTGTAATGTTTTGCTTAAACTAAGCTTATCTAAAATGGAGATATTTTGATTGACTAACATTTTTTTCTTTAATTAACCTCTATATTATTTAAGGGAATTCTTGATTGCATGCAGTGAAAATTTTTAAACTCTTGTTGGCTAAAGCAGATATATTTTTTAAATTGATTTCAGAATACTACCCATAACAAAGATTTTAACATGTTTTACTGTATGAAATTCATTCTTCTTGACAAAAAGTAAGCTACATTGTGCTCAACTGTGACAACAACATATAAAGCAACTGTATTCCTATCTCCAGTGTGAATCTAGCCTTTTATAAGTAGCAAAACTACAGAGTAAATTGAACTGAAATTTACGCCTAGATTTAATCTTTGTTATATTGGGATGCCACTAACTTATTGAAAAGAACATTTTAATAATCATTTGGCTCTTAAATAGCTATCACTATCAAAGCAAATACTTTCTTACTATTTTTAACTTGCTACTATCTTTTATTTAAGGACTTAAGCTTTTTGACTTCTCGGAGAGGGAAAGGTTGTATATTTTAAAATATTGAATGTTACCTTACAATATCTAACAATAATTGTAAAATAATAAAAAAAAATAAACAACAAAAATAATGGTGGAGATAAAAAATATATTTTGACATTATTAGTTATTATTTGAACATCAAATTCATAGACTTAATTAAACCTAGCATTCTTAAAATATTTGATTGTACCCTTCCTATCTGAATTTTTCTTAAGAGGAGCTGGTATAATCACTCACTTTAAAAATAAATCCTTTATCTGATATTTAGTTGAGAAAGAGCATAATTTTTTAAATTTTGAGAGTTTGATATTAGTCATGTGTCTTGTTTGATATGAAATGGATGTTCAGGCTGGGTTGGTTGTATGGCAAGGGCTAAAGAATTAGAAGCTAAACAACTGTAAGATGATGTTGGGAAGAGACATGGTAAGTGCTGATAAA